CAGTAACAATTCTGTCTGTCCCTGAGTATGAATTCTGTGGCCCTGAGTAACAATTGTGTGTCTGTGCAAGTAACAATTCTGTGTCTGTGCAAGTAACAATTTTGTGTCTGTGAGAGTAACAATTCTCTGGCACTCAGTAACAATTCTGTCTGTCCCTGAGTAACAATTCTCTGGCACTCAGTAACAATTCTGTCTGTCCCTGAAGTATGAATTCTGTGGCCCTGAGTAACAATTCTGTCTCTGTGCGAGTAACAATTCTGTGTCTGTGCAAGTAACAATTTTGTGTCTGTGAGAGTAACAATTCTCTGGCACTCAGTAACAATTCTGTCTGTCCCTGAGTAAGAATTCTCTGGCACTCAGTAACAATTCTGTCTGTCCCTGAGTAACAATTCTCTGGCACTCAGTAACAATTCTGTCTGTCCCTGAGTAACAATTCTGTCTGTCCCTGAGTATGAATTCTGTGGCCCTGAGTAAGAATTCTCTGGCACTCAGTAACAATTCTGTCTGTCCCTGAGTATGAATTCTGTGGCCCTGAGTAACAATTGTGTGTCTGTGCAAGTAACAATTCTGTGTCTGTGCAAGTAACAATTTTGTGTCTGTGAGAGTAACAATTCTCTGGCACTCAGTAACAATTCTGTCTGTCCCTGAGTAACAATTCTCTGGCACTCAGTAACAATTCTGTCTGTCCCTGAGTAACAATTCTCTGGCACTCAGTAACAATTCTGTCTGTCCCTGAGTAACAATTCTGTCTGTCCCTGAGAATGAATTCTGTGGCCCTGAGTAAGAATTCTCTGGCACTCAGTAACAATTCTGTCTGTCCCTGAGTAACAATTCTCTGGCACTCAGTAACAATTCTGTCTGTCCCTGAGTAAAAATTCTGTGGCCCTAATAACGTTTCTGTGGCCCTAAGTAACAATTCTCTGGCACTGAGTAACAATTCTGTCTGTCCCTGAGTATGAATTCTGTGGCCCTAACTAGCGTTTCTTTGTCCCTAAATAACGATTCTGTGGCCCTCATTAACAAGTCTGTGTCCCTGAGTAATGGTTCTCTGTCCCTAAGTAACTTCTCTCTGTCCCCAATTCTCGTTTCTGTGGCCCTAACTCTGTCCCTGTCCCTAGTACAGAGCGGTCTGCCTCTGTTCAATGACTGCAGGCAAATGAAGATTTCCAAAATGGCCGCTATATATACCTCGACCATTACACAGTGCTGGCTGGCTGGCTGCTGATTGGCTGATGCGATCACATGTCGTTGAGGAATGCATTATGGGGCAGCGCGCCTTGTCTGCGCGCCTTCCCCGACATCCCCGCTCCGTCGCCGCACATGTCAGCCGCCATTTTCGGAAAAATTTCGATTCGCGCGTCCGAATTAGGCTGTTTTTCGGATTCGGCACGAATCGAAATTTTTCCGAAATTCGACTCGAATTCCACTTCGGATACTTCGATTCGCTCATCTCTAATCACATTATTACATGCCTAGACTTTTGGACATCCAAATGATACAGGAGGGAACCCAAAGCAGATATTTCTTGAGAAAAATAGTAAACTAGCTCTTCTATTACTCTTGATTCATCCAACCAAGACTTTAACAAAGCTCTATGTCTGTATTTGAGTATAGGTCTGTTTTTATAACACTGTGGACAATTTTTTACTTTGCAGAAGTGCAAATTGAAATCACGTGTCCTAGTTAACAAGAAAAAAAAAAGTGCTTACTATATAGAAGGTATTTTAAAATATATCTGTATCACTGCATTCTATTGGAGTAATGATTACCCTTATTGAAGATCTTGTTTCTGCTTCTCTGCACTTTGATTTTCTGCCTAATCCTTGCTGCATTCTGATATGATTTACACAACTCCAAACCTACACAGTACTGTCGAAAACTACTTAATGACACCTTCCAGTTTCCTGCCATAAATTAGCTCTGGACATCCCTGTTATTATTAAGGATTTCCACATTTTCTGGTGATTGCATTGTTTCTGTTACTTTCTGTATTATAATTAACAATGTCTAAAGAAACAATGTAATTTTTCCTGCAAGAAAAGTCTGGGCGAAACTTAGGACTTTGAAAGGAAACTGACCCTTACTGACCTTCATTTCAATTGAACTATTTCCTGCACCATGACTATAATATTCATTTTTAGAACTAATTTTTTTCTGATAGAGTAATTCAAGACAATGAGTAATTTCAGTCAGTCAACTGGTAATACTGTAAATGTTTTCAAGTCAAAAAGATGCCTCTTGGAAGATGTCCCATAGGATGAAACGCATAGGGCACAGCATTGCCGTGATGTCATCATGCCTACTCGGATGAGCAGCAACTGTTTGTGATTTGTTTGTGCTTGTTTCTGATTGTGAGTACCCTTTTAATAAAACAGTTTGAAATGACTACACTATGGAGTTCCTTCTGCTCTGTTCTCTATATGTGGGATTGAATTGTGCTGCATGCCATTCCTGTGGCAATGCATCTGAAATTTGAGCATTTCTTATAGCGTGCTATGAGACCTTACATCTAGTGAGCTGTAAGCTTTTGGTAAGCACCCTGGTTTGTTGGTCATTGGAGCACTGGAGTACTTACGTGGTTGTTTGATTTCTGTTATGTTGAAGTTTTCTTCACTTTTTCACCTATCTTGATCTTTTCAGGATTTTATTTTGTTTTGTGCACGTAATATACATGTTCACATTAATTTATGTACTTAAAGAGACAGCACAGCACATTTTCCTGTATATAATTTATGTATTTTGGTATCCTAATATTGGTGAGTGCTGCTGTCTCTATGCATTTTATTTTGGAAATTTTTAAATTTTAAGTACATAGAGCAGTGTTCTTTGCATATCACCAATGCCAGTTAGTCAACTGGTTATATTCTAAATGCTCTCAGGTTATAAACTCTACCTTAATTTGAGTTTATAAAATCTTCCATATGCCTTCTGCTGATGTCTGCCAGAACGATTAGGGTGGTACGTTAGTTCTTGGCACCTGGAGCATAGTTAAGTAGTTCTCTGTTCCAGGGTTTGGCACTAAGAACTAGTGAAAATCTTATCTTTTTCCAAGGCACATTTTAGATCTTGTGGCCACTTACACTAAAGTTCCCCTACCTGGACTTTTAACACTTAACCTGATACATCTAGCCATCCCTTAATAACACTTTAATGAACTTTAAATACTTCATTTCAACAGCAATTTTCTCATAGGATTAGATATCCATTCAACATGTTTTAGGAATTTGTTATCTACCTGTAAAAGCCTCTCTTGTGTAGACGTCCAAAATCTCTAAGATGCTGCAGTGTAGAAAGCAGAGGTGAGGGACAGAAGAGCTAGGTCAGCACAAAAGGGCTTTTGCACATCGATAAAAGCAGTGTAGTGCTGCAAGCCCGAAGTACTAACCCGTAAACCACTGTGCTGCTTATTAAAAAAAATACTTAGTGATTCTCCATGAAGGTCCTTGCTCAGCATTTTCGTGTTATGGGGTGACAGCAGTGTTCCAGTAAAAAATGCTATATAATCCTAGTTGTACCAGTCACCCCCCACCTGTTGAGAATACAGCCATGCTGACACATGTTGTATATGCAAGGTCCACCATTTCTACTATCAAGAAACCCATTCAGAGCAATGATGTGTAGCTAATTGTGGAGCAAGTGAATATTGACAGGAAATGACTGGAGGAGGTTGGAGGAAATTAGAGATGGAGCGATTAGCGAGGAAAATGTGAAAGCAATACAAAATGGCAAGTGTTTATGATATATATTAGTTTAGCAAACTAAATGTCACCCAGTTAAAGTGACACTAATCTCTGGTTTTTAAAAAAAAAAATCTATTCAAGTGTGTATTAACTCAAAAAGTACCTTCTATTGGTTCCAGTTACCTCCAAATCTCTATATTCCTTTTTTGTTGATGTAATTTGACTTCCTGTTAGAGGGTGGCTATGTTCATTCTCCATGATCCCACTGTACTGTATGTAGGAACATACAGTAGCTACACTTTCTTGCTTACTCCCAAGATAGACTAGAGACCATGGACTATGAGATTTGTACTGGTCATAGAGCAGGATCAAGGGTTCAAGGAGGATGTTACAAGGAGGCCAAAAATATAGTAGGAATTCATTTAATGAAAAATAGACCACAGTCCTGCTAAGTAGTGGATGTGTTTGCAATATTTCTGGAGAATAAAAATATTGTTTATTATCATTTGTCTTTAAGGGACCTATGGCCATCAGAGAAAATTTGGCTGATGTCATTCCCATTTTACTGTCTGATTGTACAAGTTTTTTTTATTGTGTACTGATTTGTGGAAACATTCAGGAAACCAACGTTTTCAAAGAGTCATTGAAGGCTTGTCTTGGTCAAAGGCTCATGGATAGTATGGAGTTCCCAGAAGAACATGGGAGGTATATCCAGATTTACAATAAAGCAATTTTACCTGTCCGTAGATGATTGTAAATGACCTATGTCATGGTGGGTGGCAAGGCTTCTCGGCCCTGGGAACATACACCTGTTTTGTCCTGAGACCCAGCTCAAGCCCAGGTGCGCAAGTTAAAGCATCTGCCCTATGAGGCCACTCTGTGTGGTCTCAGTTCCGTGTGTCTCAAAGAGAAACTTCTTTGATAATATTATACAGAGGACTCGATGATTGCTTAATGAGCCCCCTCTCCATTACATTTGTGTCTTTGTGAAGGTCAGTATTAATGTCATGTCATGTCATTGTGTGCTAAACTTTTGATAATCTCGTTCGGAGGTAGAATTACAGAGACAAAACTTCACATTTTGTTTCCAGGTTGTAAAGGGCAGTGACCAGTGGGGATAAATATTACACAGGGTTAGCTGTGTGAATGCTTTCACCCTCAAATCTTTTGAATTAGGAAGGGAATGGTGTATAATGCAACAGAAAGTTGAGTGGTTGTTTTTCTTCTTCTCTTATATTAAAGTATATGTAAAGCAAAAAAAAAACATTTTTAGAAAGAGAAGGAAGGTTAAAACCTCCTGTCAAGTTATACTTTTTCTGCTGGAAAGATTTTCCTTCACTTTCTGTCCTGGAGGTGCAATAGGTAATGAAAGGTACTCTCTCCAAAGTGAGCAGAATTCCCATCTAAAGGCCATTTCACACAGGTGTCAAAGGGTCGGTAAAATGGGTAGTTGAGCTGCATGTTTATTGCCACTGACCACCCACCTAAATTCGAGCATTGTAGTTGGACATTGTAGAACACATACAAAAGCAAAGCATAGTGGCCATCGCAAATGGCTTCTGTAGTACTGACAGTGTGCTCCACCTGTCAGTTGCCCATTGATGGAAATGGTAGTGTGCCACAACCATGAGCCAGAGAGTGGTAGAGACTGCCACTTCTGTGAAAGAACCCTTTAAGAGTTGAACAGATTGTCTCCAATGAATGATGTCACCTCACCTCTTACTCTGTTGACTGCTTTAAAATATTGGATCTCCCTTCACTTTCTCACTTAGTGACAGTGGGCAGTCTGATAAATAGAGGGATGAACCTGCCATTTAGGGACACAAAAAAAAATAAAAAATCTTGCCAAATGGTCTAACGCCTCCCTCCTCTATCCAAAACCTAGAAAACCTTAAACATATAGTTTAACTTGTGCCTATTAGTAAAGAAGGGATATCATTTTCTACTGGTGGATTGCTTCACAATACATATAATCATGGATGGTTTATGGTCAAGTGTATCTCCAGCCAAGACCGCCAGCTTTCTTACAGCCTGTGTATGACTGAGTAGAGTGGACAGTACCTGATTAATAAAAAAAAAAACTTGGATTTTTAATCACATTTTAGTTCCAAATGAGAAGAATTGTGTACTTGGAAATAAAACAAGGATTCAATACATTTACCTGTAATGGACAGTGTAATGCTGAAATCGGGATCAACCCCTTCTTACCCCTAACCCTCCACTCACAGTTACAATGGCAAAAAAAGTGAAATGCTATACTCCTGTGTCAAAAAGATCAGTGATGTCTATGACCAGGGGCGGACTGACAACTCATGGGGCCCCCGGGCAATAGGGGATCATGGGGCCCCTGTGTCTTTGCCCAAACTTAAAAAAGCCTATGAAAAAGGTACCAAGGGCATCTCATGGGGCCCCCTACTGACCCCAGGCCCTCGGGCAGTGCCTGAGTTTCCAAATGGTCAGTCCGCCCCTGTCTATGACTTACATTCCAGCTTAGGATCAGTCTCTTGAATTTACAGTTTGGATTTCTGGATCATGCTGGCAGGTGGTCATTAGATATGGTCATACAGTGACTGCATACTTTGGCATGTGTTATACAAATTAAACTATTACTCTAGCTTTCAAAATGGAAAGAACTTAAAGCTGAAATTTTCAAATAAAACTATTCTGCTCTAATTTTAGACCAAATGGCAGCATCACTGAGTTTCTGTGCTTTTCTATGCAATGCAGGCAGAACATGGCTGGTGGAAGGGGTTGGCAGGATGCTGTACATAGTTTCCTGAAAACATCACAGAACTCTGCCTTAGGCTGGCCATACATTATACAATGTTCTTGAGAATTTTGCTTTAGAGTTACCAAAAACAATATAATATGTGGTTAAACCTAAACAACACTTTCAATTGTATCCAATTAGGCAGGCACTACATAGTTGAAGGTATATCTAAAGGAAATTGTGCAGAAATTGAACAGAAAATTGTATAATGCATGGCCAGCCTTAGTACTCCTTTCAGGGTGCTCCTCAGCAGACTTTAAGTGCATGCAGTCTGCCCTGTGTGATGCCCACATGTGATGCTGAGCCTCCATGATTGAAATACAAAGAATAAAAAGGGACAGGTCAGGGACAGTAAAGCTGGGAAGGAAAGAGCTAGATGATGATGGATGACATCCAGGCAGGAAATGAGGAGGGCTATATTGCCACAGCTTTTAATGTAAGAAGCTCAGTGTGCAGTGCAATCAGAAAAAGCAACCTAAATACAGGTGATGAGCCTGTACAACTGTGCAAGACTGAAGGTAAAGCTGTGGTTTAGCTTTAATCCCCAAAAGTTTCCTGGTCCACAGAATCACCCCATTACCAGAGCAACAGTGTCCAGATCTCACCAGAAGCATAACTTACATCACAGTTTAGTTTCCTTTTTCCATTTGAAATCTCACATAGACAGCCATTGTATTGGAGAAGGCAGGGAGATGTGAGAGTCAAGGCACTGGCCAGATGGCTATACAATGGGGATTGAGTAAAGTGTATAACCCTGACTGTCATATGTAGAAGAAAACTTATTGCACAGTAATGTTAGTTACTGCAGAATCTGTATTGTTCCTAAAGATACTTATTCTTAAACTGCCACAGAGCTGACATGCAAATTCTGCAATTAAAGGCATTTTGCGTCCTGCCGAAGGCAAGGCAGGAAAACATTAGTCACTTAGCAATTAGTTGTAAAATGTTTAAAATTCCATATTTTATTCATTTTGATGCCGTTAATATTTCAGGAGCGGAATGATACATTGCACAGTGATGCAAGTGAAGTGAAGTGATGCTTAGTGTTTTTTTTTTTTTTTTTTTTTTAGAGAGATTTATAATTTTTAATTACCCTGTAATGTAATCCAAAATGCTTTATACAGCTCTGGGACTTCTGACTCACCCTGACATCTCTATCATACATTAATTATTCTTGAACTTTTATACCAATATTTCACTCCAGATTTTTTTTTTTTTGAGACACTAGGCAGTTTTCTCAATTCATACAGTATATTTCCTTAAAGGAAACCTGTGCAAAGGGAAATTTAGAGGCTACTAAAAATGCTTGGTGTCTGGCTGTAAAGCATTCTAATTGCTTCAGTACTGAGTCACTAACCCAGAACACATACTGTATGTAAAGCTGGCAGTAGATGGGTCTTATTTTTTTCATCCATCCAGAATAAAATGAACAGATTCCTCTATCCACACAGAAAAGGTGGATGGAGGAATCCCTTCCCCAGAGACATTTATTTTGACAGCAGGACTCTCCGCTGTCAAAATACACCAATCAGTGGCTACTTATTAGGTGCAAGGCACTGATCAACAAATGTTTTCTAACATGAGCATTCATCAGAAGTCAATCTGAAACCTCTGTTGAACAGGGACACCAACACATGGATCAAAATTTGGCCCAGTCCCTGCTGAACCAGTTGAATTCTGAACTATCCATGGCCAGTTTAAAGCTGTATTTGCACAGGAGACTAGCCCCGGTGCGATTGACAATGACAGTAACAGGAATCCGCTGATTTCTGCAGCTGTTTTGCCTCTTGTGAGCAACTGCAGCTGACGAGCCTTGTACACTTCAATGACAGGACTTGGAGGCTGCAGCTAGCCTCTCACAGGTGGCAAAACAGCTGCAGGAGTCAGCAAATTTCTACCGCTGTCATTTGCTTTGGGGCTTGTTGCCCATGTGAATGTAGCTTAAGAGCCGGTTCACAACAGAAATTGCATAGGAAAGTGCTTGCGTTCCTGTGCAATTTGTATTCACTTTGAGTGCAGTGCTTTTTCAGCCCATTCTTTGGACACCAAAAGTAGCGTATGCACTACTTTAAAAAAAAAGATTCTTCTGTACCATGTGATACTTCTGTACCATGTGATCTGATGTAGCCAAACGCACTGTGTATGTGACCTGTATTTGGGGTGTCGTTTGCATTGCATTAACACTCATTGCAGATTGCAAGGGCAGTGCGTTTTGAACGTGGTACAGGAAATGCGCAAAGAGTTTAGGTTTTCCTGCACTGTGCTCTAGTGTGAATGGGCCCTTAGTCATGAGATCTGATATCATTTTGTGCATGCCTGTTTTAGGTTGGCGACGCTGGTATTAAACAACCAACTGAAGTTTTGTTTTAAATCCACTAAATGCATTCCAGGTACATCAAAACATAAGGTATTCAAAAGCTTACTTTCGAAAGCAGCCACAGCCTGAGTAGTATATCCTATCCCCTGCCAGCTTACTGCTGAGAAGAGCACTTGTGTCTGTGTGGAAGCCATGGAGTCTGATAGCTTTGCAATTTGTTGATTTGGAGAGCTTTAGCTCTGACTGAGTAAGGGGCATGTTGGACTTCAGCAGAGAGACCGCTACTCAAAATTCACGTGTTGTTTTGGATACAGAAGGAAAGATTTGTATCCTTTAAGTATTTATTGATGTGTGTGTTCCTAATAGGGAGCTTCACCATCTCCATTTGTCCTACCAGAAAAAAAGTGATTGGAAATTCAAAATTCATAACTGACACCAAATCAGAAATAAAGAATAAATCTCCCAGTGGTGACATCTGATCCGGCAACAACTAAGAAGCAATTTCCCCTCACTTTGGAGACAGGAAGCCTGTTGGGCCATCAGGATAGAAAATGAAGGGAAACCTCCTTAAAGAAGATACCAAGGCAAAAAGGTTTTTTTCCCATGCAACCACACTGCATGAGTTAAATGTTTGTTTTTGTCTAGGGGATTGTAAATCTGAGATATACTTACCTGATCCACTGATCCTCCGACCCCAAGACCGGTTCAGCCCCCCCTGCACGCTAGTGGTCTTCTGAATGGACTGTTCTGACGTCATCATGCCCATAGACCAGTTCCGGACTTGAGGACGGCAGGAACAGTCCACTGCTTTACATGGGGAACCATGGTTTTCCACAGCATCAGAGAATGGGGTAAGTACAGCTTCTCCCTGAGCCCCTGGGCAAAATAACAGTTAACCCATGCAGTGCAGGTACAGCCCCACTGCATGGGAAAATAAAAAATGTAACTGGAGTTCTGCTTTAAAGGAACCTAGGCATCATAACAAAACCTATTCTATCCAAAATTACAAAAAAAAAATATTTTTGATATACTTAAATAGCCTAATTATAGATTTTTGTAGCATTTCCCTTTAAATTATAAACTAAGCAAAACTGATGATTAAGGCCCAAGACAGGATTTGGGAAAGGTGTAAATCTTAGGCTACTTTCATATTGAGTGTCTTTGCATTAAAATAAGCGCCTGAAAACTGAAAAGCTCAAGAAAACACTTCCCTATGCATTTGAATGTATATCTATGCATGTTTTCACACTGAGGCGTTGCACTTGTGGTGTGGTTTAAAAAACTCCCGCTTACAGCATCTTTTGGGTGCTGTTTGGGGAGTTAAAAAAAAAAAAAAAAAAACGCTCCAAAAATACCTCTTCCCATTGAAATCAATGGAAAACAGCTGAAAAATGCCTCTGAGAAGCTGTTTTGGTGCAGTTTTTTTAACTACCTCCCGTCCGGCCGTTGTATATAAACGGCCGGATGGTGGCCGTGCAGGGTCGGGTGGCCGTTTATAAACGGCCTCCCTGCCCCCTGGTTGTGCGCACTCCATGGGAGCGTGCAGAACCGCGTTCCGGTGCCCGCTGTGTCCTCCGGACACAGTGGAACACCAATCGTCGTACGGGATCTCTGTGCAAGGTCCCGATCATGTGATCACTGACTGGCCAATCAGTGATCACATGCAGAGTAGTAAGCAAGATGTCACTTCTGACATCATTGCTTACTACGTGTGAAATCTGCAAATGATCACAGGGGTCACATGGTACAAGGCTATTCACAACAGCCTTGTACCATGTGACAAGCTGTGAGCAATCACAGTAGTTCTCAATGGCTGCAAGAATGCAGCCAGAGAGAAGGAGAAATGATTGCTTTTACAGCCTTTATGGGTGTAAAAGCAATCAGTGTAAAAAAAAAAAAAAATCTTCATCACCCCCCACAAGTAGTACAGTGTCACCATGGTGACACTGTACTGCTAGGGTGACAGTATGTAAAAAACAAAAAAACAAAACAAATAATAGAAAAAAAAATAAAAATGTAAAAAAAATTATAATTTTTATTATAACCCAACTAATTTGGGTTATTTTTTTTTACTAAAAAGATAATGGAATACATTTTGGACAAGATTTATGATGAAATATTATTTATTTGCAAAATTGTATAAGAAAAACACTTTTTTTCAAAATTTTTGGACATTTCATTTACATAGCAAAAAAAATATAAAAATCCCAGTGGTGAATAAATACCACCAAAATAAAGCTTTATCTGTCTCAAAAAAATGCTAAAAAATTTCTATGGGTACAGTGTTGCATGACCGCGCAATTGTCATTCAAAGTGTGATCGCACGGAAAGCTGAAAATTGGCCTGGACAAGAAGTGGGAAAAGTGTCTGGACTTCAAGTGGTTAAATCAC